AAAAAAAAATTAAAAAACAAAAATTCATCAAAAATAATCCCAACTTTCATTTTGTTGCCCAAAATGGGCATTTCCGTTAACCCTCCGTTAGACACTTAACGGCGACCCAAAATTGGCAAATTTCAGTAAAGTTGGGATTATTATGCATCACAGTGAAAGGTGGGATTATTTTTGAAAAACCGGGTAAAGTTGGGATTATTTTGGGTAATTTTTCCTATAAATTATGTACTTTTATTGACCAAAAAATTTAAATGTAAAACGTTTATGGTAAGGAAGAATACTCTTTATTTTTTGGGTACTCGTGGTAGGATTGTATCCTCCCATTAAAAATTATCTTCTCGTTGTGTATTAAAATTGTTGATTGAAATTAATTTCAATTTATTATATATTCGAAATGGTATGCAATTAAAAAATACTTTTTCCGTCCCAAATTAAATTGTTTGTTTATTATTCACGGGGTTAAACTTCAATTACTTTTTTTCTCTATTTTTGGTAGTAATTTGATAAAATAGTATAGTTATGTTACTACTAGTTTTGTAGATTTTTTGATATATTTTTTAAATAAGTAATTTCTATTTTTAAAATCTACACCGTTTTTTATATAAAATAATTTGAAAATAAATTCAATAAAACATCGTAAACCGAAACATGTGATTTAAATTGGGACGAAGAGACTAGAAATTACATATTTAAAGAATATGTTAAAAATCTACAAAACTGGTTACATAGAAAATTTTATTCTCTTTGTCCCTAAAAGATTGTCATAATTTGATCTTTTTAATCAGATTGTGACACTCTTTGACCACAAATTATGAAAAAAATATGCTTCCTCTGTTCCCTTTTAGATTACAATATTTCATTTTTGAGAAAAGTTAAGGAGAAGTAAAATCATTAAGTTTTTTCCCATTTTACACCCAATTAAGGACGAGTCAAATCATTACATAAAAAGATAGAAGTGAGGGTAAAATAGTCCAAATGGTGTTAAAATTGGAACTTTGTAATTTTTTTTGGAACAAGAATGAGAGAGAATATTGTAATCAAATTAGGGACGGAGGGAGTATTAGTTATAATGTACTTCTTAGGACTCTATTTTGATTATAAAATGGGAATTGTGATGTAAAATCTATGATTTTTTAAATTATTTTATTTACCAGTTGGTACATCAATAAGAAATAAAGATTACATAATAAAAAACTGCGTCCAAAGTTCTACAAAACAAGAGATGACAAAAATATTTTATTTTATCAAATAATCAATAAAACACACAAATAAACAAAAGTTATCGAGAAGAGATAAAAAAATAAAATTATTATCAAAATAAAGATGGAGTAAATTTTAGTAAAATTAAATTATCAAATTTTTATAATATTTAATTATTTTAAGCTATATTATATTTAGACCATGTTTGAGACTTGGGAGTAGTATATAAAGAGTACTTCCTAAAACTGAGCCGAAAGATTCTTTTTTTGAGGAAGGGGGAAGTAATTCACAAAAAAAACTCGTAGTATATAAAACGGAGGATAGAAATTTTTAAATCAAATACTCGTGTGAAACGGTGACCGGCGGGCGACGACTGATCCGATCGGCGAATAGAACCTAGAGTGGACGAGAACTGGGGAAGAGGAGATCGATTTCTGGACTCAAGGTATATTCTCAGAAACTTTCTTGATATTCTCTTTTTAATTTTCGTATTTTATTTTTTATTTTTATTTTAAATTTCAGATTTGATCATTTGAATCAAACTCAAATTACTCATTTCAGAAATTTTAGGGTTATAATCCAGAACTCTAACATTTTATGCTTAAACTATTTATGCAATTGCAATTTGCTTCACCCAAAATATAAGCAACATTTTGAATTTCATATCTTTTAAAATAGGTTTATTTACAAAACCGGTAGAAAAATAACAAGTAAAGCTACATTGTTCAAAAATAGATCAAAGTTCTACAAAACAAGATGCGACAAGAACATTTTATTTTATCAAATGGTCAACCGTAAACAAACAAAAGTTATCAAGAGACCGAAATAGTAACTGTTGCTTACATTTTGGACGGAGGGAGTATTTTCTAGTTGAATTTTTTGAATGAGCATATCAAAATATGTTTGAATAGAAGTACAAAGTTGCAACAGTCCTATAAACAAGTTTCAGCAGTGGCCTTAATCCTTACTCCTTTTACAGAGTGCGTATGAGTGCTTCATGTAGAAAACCAAGAGACTGGGAATAAATTACTCTGTAGTAATTATGTCATTTATTTCTTTGATTAGGGGCTTGTTTGGGAATAACTTTGGATGTTAGCGTTAGCGTTTTGAAACGGCTATCTATGGGCAGCGTTTAGTGTTTTCAAAGTTAATTTGCATGGTTAAAATTTTATCAAAAATGCTATTCTCAAACGGGTCCTAGGAGTGTCGGGAATTTGGAATTGATTTCTCTCATTGATTAATTCCTGATTTAGCCATTTAGGGGGGATTTCTATCTCACCGTTTATGGAACCCTCTGGCTTCTTTATAAGGTTGGTGCCACGGAGGAGAATAATAAGAGGAATAGCCTTCTCAATTACCTAAGTTAATGTGTTACCATTATTTATTTCCTTGGTTTTGCCTTTTGTTGTCGCACAGAAAGGGAGAGGGGATATAGAGCAGAGGGGAAATGGCAGAAGGAGCCGACGAGGACTTGCCAAAGGATGCAAAGGTGGTGAAGACCCTGCTGAAATCAATGGGTGTTGATGAATACGAACCACGTGTGGTGCACCAGTTCTTGGAGCTTATGTATAGACACGCCGTTGACGTGTTGACAGATGCACAGGTGTACTCAGAGCACGCCGGCAAGGCTGTGATTGATTCTGATGATCTCAAGCTTGCGATTCAATCTAAAGTTAGTTTTAGCTTCTCACCACCCCCTCCTCGAGAGGTATATGATCTTCCATCACATTTATGTTCAATGCTGTCTTTGTTTAAAAAAGGCAGGCGCCCATAACAACCCCGTAAAATCCCACAAAAGTAGAGGGTAAGAAGTGTACCCAGACCTTACCCCTACTTGAAACTAGAGAGGCTGAACAGGAGCCTAATCTCATTAAACGAAGCTCATTTTCATTCAATCAACTTTCCAAAACAAAAAAATGTTACAAACAAGCGTGCTAAATTTAGTTGAACAAACAAATGTAAAAGCACTTGTTTGATTGATAGTTTACAAGGACTATCTTACCCAAATCAGAAAAGGTGTACCTTGGTGAACCCGAATTCTATTTTTGGGACAGTGGTAGTATAAATGTAGGAAATTTCTATTTAGTACTATGTACATTTTTCACATCATAGAGAGCATTAAAAGTGCAAATAAAAAGATGCTTGTTTATATTTTTATCAGAGTTATGAAAAGCTAGTCTTTTTATCGCTTAAAGTGAAAGATGATGCTTGTGTATATCTTTAGCAGAGTATATCCTAAGAAGTGAAGTTCAACTTTATCTAGTTCTTTGAGTCTTTGAATTGAAAACCCTGCAAAGATTTAAGTCTTTAACACTTGTTTATATTTCAAGTTTGAACTTGTTGGTAGTGAGTGTAACTGTGGAGTAGGTAGGGGCAATGGATGTGTAAAGAAAGGACAAGAAAATAAGGGCAGTGCCTTCTGATTGTTTTATGTTCTTCTGGTGTAAAGTTTTTGTTCAGGGCACAAATCTTATGTCTTAACTCTCTTGACACATCTGCTTGCCAAACAGGTCCTGTTAGAGTTGGCTCGAAGCAGAAACAAGATTCCTTTGCCAAAATCAATTTCAGGACACGGAATCCCTCTCCCTCCAGAGCAGGATACCCTCATCAGCCCCAATTATCAACTCGCTTTCCCTGTGAACCAAACCGCTCATCCGGTGGAAGAAACCGAGGACAACGAGGACGGTTCCGACCCTAATCCCGCATCCAACCAAAACCCAAACCTTTCCCAAACCCGAACAGACACGACACCCGAGACTTCTCAGCGAGTGTCTTTTGCCCTTGGGGCTAAACGTCCAAGATGACACACTAAATTGGTTATTTTTCCTCATTCATGACCAGGGCAGACAGTGGTTACTGTTTAGCGATGGTTAACTGAAGGGTCCCGCCACAAGGGTGTCAGCGGCTGGCGGCTCGGTTGGGTGCAACAAGTTTATTGTCAAAACCTGGTATTTCCTGCACTTTCTCAATGACCATACACGTAACTCAGACGTTTTAATATGGTCTCATGTAATGCTATATCTATTCAGCTTTGTAGTAGATTGGGATTAGTCATGGTGGCAATGGAAGATGCTCTTGGCTTTATGCAATTCTAAATGATAGAAATTTGAATATGGTTTGTTTGGGTTACAAGAGAGAAAGCTCAGATAGAAAGATGTAAGACGTTTATTTTATTAAAAAAAATGATCACTCCCTCCCTCTTTTATGGTTTGATTTCACGAAATTTTAAAAAATTATTGAAAAATCAAAAGTATGCCTTTTGAATTTGTACTCTCTCCATCCCAAATTAAGTTGCATGTTTACTATGGTTAAATTTCATTCACTTTCTCTCTCTATTTTCACTAGTTTTGTAGATCTTTTTATCTAGTTTTTAAATATGCAAATTTTATTTTTTAATTCTACATCATCTTTCATATAAAATGATTTGAAAATAATTTCAATCAAATATCGTAAACTAAAGTAGACGATTTAAATTAAGATCGAAGGGGTATAAAAGCGAAAAATATTATGAGTCACATATTAATTTCTTAATTGTAAGATAAGCGGTGTGGAATATTTAATTTTTAGACATTCGGAAAAGAAATAATCTAAAAGTAAAACTTATTTTAGGAGGGATGTAGTAATATTTAAAATGAAATGGGATGAAGTTTTTTTAAAGGAATAAAGATTTTCATTCAGTTGGAATCAAGTGAGTTAGAGACCTTGGGGGAGATGAATGCTACAAACCCAGTTGAGCTAAAGTGTGTCTAGCAAAAGTACTGGCAACAACATTCAAATCTCTACTCATAAATTTAAACGACGCCTTCAAAAAGTAACTCATCAATTCAAAACACAAATCAAGAATAGGCCCCAAGTGGAAAGAACAAACAAAACGCCTCCCTTGTTTAGGCGTGCAAACCAAATTCCCACAACCGAAGAACATTTTCACATCCTGCATACCTTGACACTTAGCCATGTCATAGTTTCGTACATGCAAGTGCTTCTGCCATCAAAGGATCTTGGTCCCCTCTCTATTTATCATTAGCCGTTGCCAGATAGATCCTACCTTGATCAAAGACCACACAACCGAAAGACATACAATTCTCCAAAGGGATGAGGGATGTTTTTGAAACAAGAAAGTATTTTTCTACTTTATCTTGTCTTCTTTGTTTTTTCCTCATTTCTTTCTTCCCCTCCCCGATGCTGTCACTTCCCCTTCCCCTTCTTTCCTCTCCCCACTCAGATCAGCCTCCCTACTTTTCTCTATTTCACATCACTATTTTCAAACTTTACTCTACCACTAAGGCTGTGTTCCGTTCACTTGATCTGATATGATTTAACTTTTTGAATATCTGATCCGGTCTAATTTGATTACAGATGTAATTAAAGCTATTTTTAATCAGATCTAGTCTGATATTGTCTAATCTAATTATAATAAAAATAAGTAATAAGTAGAAAAAATAAATTGAACGAATTGTCACCTAAGACCATAAGGAGTGGAGGTTATCATCACTCCCATCTTTTTCTGCAAACTCAGCGTCACGTCAAATTTTTCTTTATCACATCTCATCTCTTTCAAGAGTGTAGATCACGCTCATCCCATTTTCTTATTTATATTCTTCTTTAAATTTATTTTAATTAAAATCACTTAAATTTAAGATATAAAATAAAATTCTCATTAATATATAATTTAAAATTACAATGACAAAACTAATAGAAAATTGAGTGATAAATAGCAAAAAAGACGCCTACTAAAAAGTACTACTACTTGATTAAAAAATAAAAGTATAATTGCTTGATTAAAATCAAATTGCTAGATAAAAATTAGATATCACGGCCCAAATTGTCAACCGCACTTCCAACCCACCTCCAGTTAATTTTGTATTTTTAGAATAACTTGTTAGTTCCTTGGTTGTATTTCAATGCTGTAACCTCTTATTGGCATTATCTTTTTTGACAAAACAAATAGCTAATTAGTGTTATGTATAAGTTTGTTGCTTTTGAGTCTCAGTTAGAGTTGTAGCATCATGCCTCACTCTTGCCCGTCATCATGCATGCTGCAAGTTTTGTAGTGTCACTCCAGTGTGTCACATTAAGCTGAGAAGGTTTTCTATTTGCATTGAGAATCGAGTTTTGTTTTGATTGATGGAATCTGCTGCGTCTCATAAGACTACAAGACCAAGGAGCTCAACGCTGTAGGGAGTCTAAGACCACGAGACATTTGGGGAGTACGACTTCGAAAGGAAGCTACGGTTTCACCAAGTTCTAGTGGGACTCTACTAGGGTTCTTGAGTTTATACTTTTATATAGTCTTTGTAGAATCTCAGGCACTACCAACTCTTCTAAAATCAATTGGTGTTAGAAGAAGCGCATATCCAAGTTTTATAGTGCATTCAGTACACACAAGCGGCCACGACATTCGATTGTGACTTGGCCCACATAGCCTCCGCCACATGACGATTAATGTATACATGGCCAACATAGCTGCGTAGTCTAGAAGGGGCAAATGATCCACACTCGACATCAGAATTTCATAATCTTTTTGCTCGTTGCTTTTACGCTCCATCCGCAGTGCCTTATCGGCGGCTTTTTGTTTCAGCTGATTCTTCTCCGACTGCACCAGGTTGAAGGCGGTTGTATTGAACACGAGGTTGTCGATAGTTTGTTCATGAGGTGTACTCTGTTTGCCGATGATGCTCTTTTCACATTATCCCTCCCAACGGGGTGCTTCAGCTTAGGAGGGGTTGGAATATCGTCGTTGTCATTCACGAACGCAGATGTCAAGTTAGCGTTGAACATTACAGAACTAGTATATTCTTCGGACTCCGATAATTTTTAGACCGTGACACCTCATTATGCACTGGAGTCCATTAGGGTGCCCACTAAATATCTACCACACTTTCAATGTGTGGGAAGGGCAATAATGTTGGGTTTGATACTTATGACAACACCTATTTTAAAAAAATCATTGTTACTAGTCTCGATTGACCAAGAGAGAGCGGTGACATTGATACTTTTATTATTATTATCATTATCGTCATCGATGCGATTCTATTGACACTGAACTACGATGATACTGCGATACAACGATTTTTCCAAAGCATTTTAGTATTCTATTCACAAATGTGACGAATAACCCGGTCTAAGTAAGGTTGAGAAAGTGAGAACCAACCCCAATCAAACCCCACTCACAATTTATTGCTCTATAAATCAACTCCCCCATCATCATCATCATCTTCAACCCTACACACTTCTTATCTTTTCTTTCTTCCTTTCATCCATCACTGTTCCCTTGTCGAAGATTCCCTCCCATCTCTCCGCTTCAAGACCAGCAAATCGGAGGTTCTTTTCTTCTTCCTCCTCCTCCCAATAAACACTTAGGTTTTCTGCCTTTTTTCCGACTCCTCTGATCGCTCATTTCCGTTTATCCACGTGCTCTCCGAACGGGGATCTGTGCTCTGTTCCTCAGTTCTCCGATCACGTCTCGCCGATGATTGGCGTTTGACCGGATTTGAATCGATGGAATTAATTTTTTTTTAATTATGAAATTTTTTTGTTTTTGTTTTTCCTTTGGAAGAGGTTTTAGCTGGGTAGGTGAGGCTATCAATGGGAACATAATTTCCCCAGTTTTTGCGGATTTTCCAATCCTGTGAAATCTTTTAGGTTTAGCCTTTAGGTAGCTTTCACTTATTCATCTGTGGTTGATTTGAATATTACTTCTTACTCTGTTTTTTTTGGTGTTTTTTAATTGTGATAATGTAAACAATAAATTTGTAGTCTATCTATCTTCTTAAGATTTGCTATGCCAGTTGTAACTGTTCGTATTAACCAGCATTTATTTCTTTCCCTAGTTGAAGCCTAACAATCAGTTTCATTTCCAGAGGCCAGAAAGTGTTCTTTGCCCAATTAAAAGTGAGTGACAGGACCTGTCAGATGAGGGTGTGATACTTGTGGCAAAGGATTAAATCTTTGGAGTTTTTTTTGACATTGGATTCATGCCAGTTTCTGGAAAGGAAGAGGTTTACATTTAGAATATGATTCATTTTTCTTTCCTAGAATCTCAGATGTAGTTTCCTGTGCATTGATGTGGTTTGCTTTGATTTTCTTGTGGGTCTGCAGCTTGGAATGCGGTCTAGTATCTCTTTTGCAGGTATCCCTATAAAGAAGAGAAGGTTCCCGTTTGTTTTTCCTTCTTCGCCTCCACCAGAAGACCCAACATCTTTTTGTGATGGAAATGATTTAAAGAAAACAGAGTCTGCTTCGATCCCGAGTTCATCCTTCAACCCCATCGATACTACTAACAATGCCAGTAGATCTGATCTGAACAAGAATCCTCTATTGGAGGCAAGACAAGAAAGGCTAGAAGATGGACACATTAGCTCTAGCACACTGAACATAGAATGTTCTGACTCCAAACTTGCTGAAGCTGATGATAGCTCTATCAAACTTCTGAAGGAACCCTCTGTGTCTAAAAGTATTGAACATGATTATGTCTCTGTCCATTCTTCTCAGGAACTTTCAGGATCTAAACCCGCTGAAACGAATGCTTCATCTGTCCAGTACAAGGAAGAAGCTTCTGGATCCATGCCTGCCCACACAAGTTTTTCATCTGTGCAATATATGGGAAAACCCTCAGGATCTCAGCCTGCTGAAACGGATTTATCATTTTCCCAATCCATTAAGGATTCTTCCGGATCTAAATCTGTCAAAACTAGCAAGGAAACAGGTGGCTTTCAACCCTCTCGGGAAAACGTTGCTTCTGCCCAGTCTAATGAGGAGTCGCTGGGATCAAAACCTCACATCTTGAATGAAAAGGTTCCGTCAGGTTCTGGTGCGGGTCCTTTGGACCACGGTCTTCTTAAGGTAGCTTTAACTGAAAGCAACATTGGGGTTTTAGAAAACACTTCAACGAATGTGAAGATGGAAATCATGGACAACAAAGAAGACAGTTGCACTAAATTTCAACTTTCTGCACTTTTGGGGAATGCTGAATTGTCTTTTAGGGGGGCAAGCAGACAGAGCCTATCGGTGGGAGTGCAAAATAGAGAAGCTTCTGAGATGTGTGATAGTCTAGATCCATTGTTGTTATCTCTGTCTCTACACAAAGAAAAGGCCATG